CCGCGACACATCCACCGCAGACCCCATACATACCTCCAGTGGAGGGAAGGCCGGACTCCATCACCAGGATCCAGGACGAGCAGGGAGGCGGTACAAAGGACGCCCCCGACCATAGTCGCTGCGTCGTCAGCCTACGGGGAGCGCTGTGACAGGAAGGCCAGGACCCCGTCATTTGCACCCCCCGGGACGAACCCATAGGCGTAAAGGGGGGACCACATGTCGCAGCCGACCCACCATGGCAGAGTCTGCATGCGCTCGCCGGTCACCCAGGGGAGACTACAAGGATCCATGGTCACCCAGCTTGTCGCCCTGGGGACACTTGCTAGAAGAAAAAACGAATCAAACGGAAGAAAGGAAAAAAAATTCCAGAATTTTTTTTTTTTAACTCCTGCCGCTAGGCAAAAAACTGGAGTTTTGTCAGCAAGTGGAGGGTTGGGCCACCAGCAGGCGCCGCCCCTAGGCTGTCTTGTCTTTTTGTTATGTGCCTAGCGTCCTACCCCTGCAGGTGGCGATATACCTACCATTCAGGATCTACGATCTGTTGCCCTGTGTCCTTCAATGAACGGGAAAGAAATAAACAATAACTGTTTTTCCCAGCTAGCCGGAGCAGAAATAAAGAGGAGAGCTCCCCCATGTGGCCATTTTTTGCAGTATATAAAGTATAAGAAGCACAGGTCACCACAGCAAGACTCAGAGGCCCTGTAATGTACCTGGCCCCTCGTGACTGGAGGAATAAAGCCAGTAGTAAGTAGTAATACACAGATTAGGAAAGGAAAAAAAAATCACTTTCACACAGTGTCCTGCTAATGGCAGTCTGTTCTTTTCTGATATTTCTGCCTCAGACAGATTCAGGCACAATATGGAGAAGAATCCCTAACGTGGGATTAGCCTGTTACATCTGCTCATAGAGGTGAGTCTCCAGACGCGTGGTCAGGTAAAAACTACCTTAGCTCTGGACCAGCAAATCCATAAGTTACCCCCGCAGACATACTGGCCTGACCTGAAGAGTTAAGTCCTATGTGAACGGGAACACAAACGGTAGTCACTGCCAACTGCAGGCCTAACACAGAGGGAACATCAGTATAATGAACTGGGAAGCTGCAATGCTTGTTTAGATGGAGTTGTACAGGGTTTCCATATTTAGTGCTGAATTCATGAGTAGCTGCAGATGGCCATAGAAACTTTCAAAAATTCAGGACCTTCGCAGAGATATCACCAGTATAAAACTGGAAAACCTGCACTTCCAATGGGAGAAACCATCCGGGATTTTAACTATACGGTATGAATTTACCAGCACCGTTGGCTGACTGGTGAAACTATCCAGGATTTCATAGTTCTTTTTGATAGTAGAAATCTTCTAAACAACAGAGAACAGCAGAGCTGAAGAAAACATGTCCACTCTTCTAAGGACACTAGCAAAAACTGAGGTATGATGGTTGTGGGTCGGGTTATTATGTGCTTACTACTGACTTTTTGTTGGCAGTTTCCATTTCTCCGGTAGGCAGAAAAATAACCCTACAGACCAAGAATTCTAACAATTCCTGTGTGCCTCAATGGACAATAAATAAAAGTAGAAATTAGGGCTGCAGCTAACGATTATTTTCATAATCGATTCGTTGGCCGATTATTAAGTTCGATTAATCGGTTAATCGGATAAAAAAAATGTAGAAATACACTTTTAACCCTTTCGCTGCCAAGCCCTGTGCTTCACTTTTGACCTCAGCTGCCATTTTTCATAATTGTTTTTTTTTTTTTAACTGCAGATTTCAGAGTTTATAAAAGATCCTCCAAACCATAAATTGTCTGAAAGCACAGGACCAGTAGAAGAGAAAGATGGTGCTACTAATTTTGTAGGTCCCGCAAGAGTTGCGCAAATGTTTACCAAATCCATATTTTTGATAAAAACACGCTAAAATCATGATCGGTGCACACACAAAAAACATAATTTACAAGATTCCTACTAAATCTAAAAGATAAACCTGTATTGAGTTAATATATAATATTTGTCAATTTTAAATTGCGTCTTTTTTTCAAAATGATAAAAACGAAGGTACACAAAAACTGTAAATAAGCAACTTATGCTAAAAATATGTTTTGTGGTAACGCCTGATCTGCAGTGCTGTTTGTGCGCTGTGTTTATGGGTTGTGATAAAATGATACAGGCATACGCGTTCTAACAACGCACCGCACCGCAGCACATGTGCATAACATACACCACAATATGGTGCACACTGTTGTATGTGTATGTTATGGGTGTTGGTGGGGGCTTCATTTCTTGTTTAACTTTTTAAATGTTTTATTATTATTTTACATTACTGTCTGGGGCTTTGGGGAGATATCAGGATATCAGATATCAGACACCTGATATTTCCCTTTTGAAATAGAAAAAAGATTGAGAACATAAAGTCCTCAATTTTATTTTCTGCAGCCCCAGCACTCAATGAACATGAAGTACTAAGTACATAGGCTTCCTCCAGTTTATTCACAAACTAAGGAGAAAATACTATCAACCCAGTTATAAATGGGCAGAAAGCCTCTGTACTGAGCAGCCCCTGTCCATTCATAAACTGAGGAGTTTTTACTATGTCCCTAGTCATGAATGAACAGGAAGTGATGAACAGGAAGTTATGTATAGCACTTCATGTTCATTCATAACTGGGGACAGTAATTATTTACGATCTCCTCAGTTATTTACAAACATCAGAGTAATTAACGGCACGCAGGGGGTCTCAGATGGCAGCTTTCTGAATGAATAGGTGACATCGGCTTGTCAGCCCCTGATGACAGCTCTTCATTTACAGAGAACCATCAGAGGAACCGTTCTGTTAGAAGTTTATGGTCATGCAGCAATCATGAGCTTATAGCAGAAGGCTATGACCTGGCCAGCTGGAAACGCTTTTGTTCCGCCATATGCCTTACGTTGTTGCCAGGAACAGGCTTAAGTGTATTTCCAGTTTTGCAGCCAAGTTAGGATAAAGCCTACTTTATATTTGTTCAGTCGAACCGAAGAACTGCTGTACGGGCTATTCACTATAGCCCATACAGCAGCCGAAGGCATATGCTTCAGCTCGACTGAGCCGAAGTGACACCCGAAGTGAGGCTAAGGGCATGACAGATCAGCGTCCCTAAAATGTCCTGGAGACACTGATCAGTCATTAAATAACTGGGCGGAGCCGGCCGTGACCTGCTAGAAGACTCTAGCATAGGTGGAACTACAAATCCCATGAGGCATTGCAATATTCGCACAGCAATGACTCCCGGAGAGAGATGCATCATGGGATTTGTAGTTTCACCATAGCTGGAGGACCGGAGTTTGGCTACCCCTGCTTTAGCAGGTGCCGGCCAATAGGAAAAAGTTGGGCAGAGCTAGCTGTCACTGCTTGCTCCACCCAATAGTTCTTTTTTTTAATCTTTATTTACCTTTATTTACATTTTTTTTTTTACATTTCACTCTTTTCCTTGATTTTCTATTCTGCTCGTTACCACGGAGGTATGAAGATAGGGGCGAATGGCAGCGAGTGAGCTTCCGGAGCTTCGGCTCAGCCGATCCAGATGTTGGATTGGCTGAGTTGAAGTCCTTCTGCACTTCGGCTCAGCCGAACATATATTATTTTTAGGTATGCTGTGTGAATGGGAACACAACATATAAAAGTTTTTTAAATTCGGAGATTGTAGTCCATCCCAAGAGTGAGCTTATAGCAGTGGCTACTTTACAACACACACAGGGAACCAGGGGGAACAAAAAGTAGCAACCCTCCAGAAGGAAGGACAGTGTCAGCACCAATTCACAGATGATTTGAATATCTAGAGTGAGTGATACACAAATAAGCTACATGTTTGTTATTAGTTAAGGTACTTGAATGCATTTTTAAGATTCAACTCCTGAGTTTAGTGTCAGTTTAAGAAATGAGTGTGACGCTCGCTCTCACATAAGTGACATATAACAGGAATATAACAGAGTTCAAAATATGTAGTGTGCTTCAAATTTCTGATTAAGAGCATTATAGATCAAGCTTAAGGATTTCAAAATAGTGTTTTTAAATAAAGCTAAGAAAAGGAAAAATACGCAAGGAACATATTTACATTAAAAGTATGGCTGCAACTATTATTTTCATAATCGATTAGTTGGCCGATAATTTTTTCCAAATAATGTGGATTAAAGATGTTTCTGACCAATAATCAACAGTTTAGAGTTAACCATGAATATTGGCCCGATAATGATTGTACTCACTCTGGCGCACGCAGCGGTACCCGACATGTGTAGCACAATTGTTGTTTTCGTACATAGGTGAACCCGACTTGTGTTTCTGTTAGTATGTGTGCGTTTGTGGGGTCGGGGGACTTTACTTTTTTTTCTTTTGGGGAATTTTTAATCTTATTTCGTAGTTTTTTGTTGTTTTTTTTTTAATTTTCTATCACATGGGCCCCTATGTGATAGCACATTTAAGGTGACAGGTTCCCTTTAAGGTGACATTAGGGGTCACTAGGGCTGCAGCTAACGATTATTTTCATAATCGATTCGTTAGCCGATTATTAACTTCGATTAATTGGATAGGATTAAAACAATAATACCGTCATTTGTTTAAAATAAAATACATAAATGCAGCTTTACAGACATAAAGTTTAGTAAAGAATAAAACAGTATACACATCGTTTGCAATCGCACTGCACTGGATATACATACATACATACATACACAAATACACATATGGTATCTCACAGAAGTGAGTACATCCCTCACATTTTTGTAAATACTTTATTATATCATTTCATGTGATGACACTGAGGAAATGACACTTTGCTACAATGTAATGTAGTGAGTGTAGAGCTTGTATATCAGTGTACATTTGCTGTCCCCCCAAAATAACTCAACACACAGTCATTAATGTCTAAACCGCAAACTGGAGAAATGAGAAAGCAAGTATGTCTGGAGGGTCCTCAGACCTCATTATCATCACACAGCATTTAAAAAAATATATTTATTTTAAATAACCACTCACCTTAGCTAAGCCAGCCCTATGTGCTCCCTGAGACTCTATATAAGCCATGTATTTTCCAAAGTCCTGAAACTCCTCCCAGGTAGGTCTAAATGTCATAATCTTGCAACTAGAATTCTGTGCTTGTGAAGTCTCTGGCCCCATGGTGATCGTCTCAGAGTTTGGCCCAGGAAAAAACCTGAGGAACAACATTTAAAGCATTACTAATAACTAAAAGGAAAAACAGGCATATTTCTATACCTAATATACACATCAACAAAATAAAACATTAAAGCAAATCTATTTGTAACTTTAGTCAGCATGAACTTTCACATTATTTAAACTGCACAGATATAACATTTGACACTAGCGTCATTTTAAATGTGGTTATAGGGTATGCACACCAGCAACTGTTGCATGTCATTTCTCAGGGCAAGTTACCTGATAATATGAGTAGACCATGTCTGTGAAATGTGTATTGGCATGGCAGTTTGTAGTCTGCATCGGAAGAGCGTACAACAAGGTGACAACATAGGAAAACAGTTGGTGTCTGCAAAAGACCTTCATGGCAGGATCACCAGGTATTATTTTAATGAAAGCCACAGCATTAAAAACATTAAAAATAATTTTGAAATTACATGTTAAAGCGTATCGGACATTTTATTTTTTTTGGGATACATACACAAAGTTAAAGTGATATTAAACCTTAAGTTTTAATTCTTCAGTTCCTTGTTCTCTAGTGGGTCCCCACAGCTCTCCCCTTCCCCGCACGGCCGCCTCCATCAGCTAAGCAGCTGCTGTGGATCCACCCATGCATGCTCATGCTCCCAGCCATGCCCGCAGTAGCGGTGTGCATCCATAGACACACACAGGCCTGCAGCAGGCCACGCCCCTCCACTCCGCCCAGCAGTTTGATCAACAGCAGAGGGAGTTCGGGACGGAGGATCGCTTCAAGGACCGGCAGTGGTGACAAGCGTCACTGACAGGTAAGGTATAAAAAACAGCCTTTAGTAATACTTTAAAATGACAAGTGTTGCTACTTCTAGGCTCAATGAGATCATGTAAAAAAAAGATATGCTAAAAAAAATACCCTGACAGACTATCGTACGCGGACGGCCTCCAATGATTTGGATAGTACAGCAGACAGGCAGTCTCTGTTGCCTTCTGCTCTACAATCGGGACAAGCCCTACCTTCTGCTGCGCTGTTTGCCAGCATTCGTTCAGTGGTAAGAAATCACCACTTCGGTTACAAAGCAACTCTCAGCGGACCTGTTGAAGGAACGCCGTGAACTTGGTGGCCACACTGACTTGCTCGAACACCGCTACCACTGTTCTGGACGGCCACAAATTTATGCTGGTGGATCTGCAAAAATAACTTCATGCCTGTCAAGATAAACTTACTTGAAGATGTTGAGAACAGAGCCCAGCAACGGTCTCAAACTCTCCACAGGCTCAAGTCTCAATGCTTCCAACTGTCGGGTGAAGGATGAGTACCTTTTCTGGTCGTGTTAGTTTATTCTACACTTTCCAACGACAGCTGCAGTTTGGTCTTCTTTTTGGACCATTGCAAACTAGTGTTTTCTCATTTTGGTTTAAATATCTTGCCTTCGATCGTGGGCGTGGCCGGGATGTGAAGCAGCGCGGTTGTGTCTGCAGGAGCTCCGTCGCTACACTAGCCTCATCCTACTGCCATCCTGCTCGTTCAGACCCAAAAATTACTCACCTGAGCTCTGGGGGACGTCCGATCCAGGGTGCCATGTCTTCCTGGTCCGGTAAGCACACGGACACGCCGAAACGAGGCGGGAAGAAGTCCAAAAGTGCGGCCTCATGTGCGTTCTGCGTCAGCTTGCCCTTTTCTCCGGCTGCTTGTGTGTGCTCCTGCTCGACTCGTGTCATCGAGGGAGAAGCCGCAGATGCTGGAGAAACCCCCATGGACTTGCATGACGCCACATCCACCTCAGGTACTGGGAAAGCTGGGACTATCACTATCCTGGAAGCCATAGAGGGTTGCAAAATAGCACTCACTGCCAAGATAGATCATTTAGCTGTGGAAAATCAGGGGCAGACTTTCACAGGCCGAGACGCGGGTGTCTGGGGTGGAGGATTCCGTACAGGATCATGCCACATCCATCCAGGACCTGCAACACACGGTCAAGGTGCTGGCTGCATAGTGGGCCTGCCGGAAGGAGCAGAGGGCACGCAGCCTACTACGTTTGCAGAAGCCTTCTTTAAAAATCTGCTAGCCCTGGAAGAGCTGCCTCCCACCTTTGTGGTAGAGAGGGCCCACAGGCACCCAACTGGCAAAATGGCCCCTGGGTCTCCCCCAAGACCATTCCTGGTGCGTCTCCTGAATTATCGGGACCAGAACAGAATATTGGCGGCAGCCAGAGGCTATCCTGACCTTTGCCATGAGAATGCCTCGGTTCGTCTCTTCCCTGACTTCTCGCCTGAGATTTAGACGCGGAGGAGATCCTTTGTGGATGTGCGACGCCGTCTTCGGGAGAAGGGCATCTAATACAACATGCTGTATCCCAGCAGGCTTCAGGTACCTCATGCTGGTAAAGTACGCATGTTTGATACACCGACATCAGCTGCCGAGTGGTTGGATACACTGGGATGAGCGCATACCACCTGCTGCCACCTTGGAATTTTGTTTTCTCGTTTCTTCTTTATTTGCCCCATACCAAGAGAAGGGTTACTCACCCCTGCAGGAGAAGAGGACGGCCGGGACACATCTGGGGCCGCGTGCTTCAAATGATCTGAGCCCTCGCGACCTGGCGCCATCTTGGGTGCGGCCCATTCCTCACCGCTGCAGTCCGAAAAGGTATCAATGGCGCCTTTACAGGGTTTCAAAGTGTACGGAGGCTGAAGTGAGGTCTTTCTTTTACCGGGTTTGGTTTGCGATCCTCTTCGAGACATGATTCCCTGGTGAATTGCGGAATAGTAGATGGCCAGGATAGGAGCGCGAGCAGATGCGTCCACACTCACCTCTAAGCCACGCCCCCAGTTTTCTTTTTATTAAATTCACAGACATTTCTAAAATTCTGTTTTCACTTTGTCATTATGGGGTACAGAGTGTAGATTAATGAGAAAAAAAAAGAATTTAAACAACTGTAGTATCAGGCTGCAACATAACAAAATTAAAACAAAGTGAAGGGGGTCTGAATACTTTCTGAATGCACTAATATATATATATATATATACATATATATATATTACACACACACACCATATTTATTAGGGATGCACCGATACGGATACTAGTACTTGTAAAAATGACAAGGCCCTGGTGCTTCACCACTGTCCTAAAATCATTAGTCTGTATTGTTTTAGAAAGACGGTCACATGATGCTAAAGGGAAAGTATACGTAATTGGTGAGTACTTCAGAAAAAGGTATTGGTACTTGTATTGGGTGTGGAAAAAATGGTTTATTTATTAATGTATAACTCCCCAGGTGTACAGTTAAGAATCCTGGGTTTTACAGTTTTACATTTAGAAAATAACTGGCCCTTATCAGTCCAGGCCATCTATGTGTATTGACTGGGATCTGTCAAGTGTTCTGGCTGTCCGTTAATGCTGTATTGCACCCCATTATCAGTGATATGCATCTCATGTGTTTTGGAATTTGAAGACTATCTAGACCAAAAAAAAAACAACAAAAAAAAAAAACACATGTTGTTTAATGGGCAGTTTGGTTCAATTAGGAAGTGATGAATTTAAACAAACTGAGGGGACGACAGGGTTTCCGAACAAGTTTCGGATTGCTCAGGCTTCATTACCGTCACACCTCTCCCCTAGGTTGTGGCATGGAAAGGAATTGCAAGTTCCTTTCCTACACCACCTGCTGCTCGCTCAAGTTGCCATGATAATCCATCCGCATTACGGTGGGAACTGCCTTTCTTGTGCTGAATGGTAAAGTTGTATTGGTGGAGAATTAAACTCCGTTCTCCCCAGCAATCTGGGATAACCAGCTGAGTGGGATGTGATTGGAGATTGCTGTAAAGCTGTGCCCATAAAGATAGTGCCCCCAAAATCGCAAGACACTCTCTCGATGGTGACATATGCCACCTCTCGGAGAAGTAACTTTCTGCTCAGGTAGAGGATGGGATGTTTCTCTCCCATCTGGTCCACCTGGCTCAGAACTGCACCCAAGTGCAGAAGCGTTGGTTTGCACTAGAAACTGGCAGGTGAAATTTGGGCCTGTAGCACAACAGCCTTGGACAGTGCCTGGTTCAAGGTGCGAAATGCCCCCTCGCATATTGGATTTCATTTAGGGGCTCAGCCAGGCTACTGTAGTTGCAAACAAACTTCCTATAGTAGCCGGCTGTGCCCAAAAATGGCATGACATATCCGTTGTGTGTATATATATCTAGATATATATATTGTGGCAAGGCCACGGTATAATGTGTCATCAAAGTCACCCAGGACTCCCAGCAAGAGGGGCCGAGCGGCTCCAGGAAAGTACTTTTACCAGGAAAGAGCTGGCTTTACAACTCATTCCAGGTTTTCTGGATTATAGTTGGGAACCTGGAGCTGGGAGATTTCTAAGTGAACTGGGAGAGAAGAAATCTTCATTCCTGGGTCCGGGCTTTAGTGGTGACCAGCACTGCAAGATTGTGCACCTGGACACAGCCCTTATGAAATAGATGCTGGTTCATTTTCAGGGTTCCAGCTGGAAGACGAGAGAGGTGTCTGTCCTGGAGTCAAGAGGACTCCAGCCTGGAACCAGCCTGTGTGGCATGTCTGTGGGATGCAGCCTGTTTGGGCAAGGTTTGATTGTGATAACCTGAAGTCGGTGAGACTGTGAAAAAACTTTATTTTGCTGAAATTGTATTATGTTGGAGAAACCCTGTGAGGGAGAACTTGTGTGAACTTTAAAATAAAAGTGGGCAGGAAGCCCTGAAAAGAACGTTTGCGAGTGGACTACGTCCTTGAAGTGCTACCATTTGAAGCTAAATCGCCACAATATATATATATTGTAGAGGACGGCAAGGCTGGGTCCTGGATGGGAGATATATATATCACCACTGTTTGGGTTGTGGTGCCTTTAAGGGCCACCACAGGGTTAACCTTCCTGCCCCAGGAAGAGGTTTAAAGGTCTGCAACTCCCAGAGAGGAGTGTGGGAGTGAGGAGAAAGTAATCACTGGTGGCTAGTGAGAGAGACCTGCTGGATTGCTGTGTTGCGGTTGCGGTTGTGC